TCCAACTAGGGTTTCCCTTTTCATCAATATGGGTGAGCTCCAAAGGCCTCAAATCATTTCCATGGTCTTAATACGTCCTCAAGATCATCCATGCCAAGTTTCATGCCTTGCACAAGAAGTTTGCTTAGTCAACTGCTCAGATGCTTGAAAATCAACTGTATTAGGTCAAAAGTCAATTGTGGCCCACATGCAGTCAAACTTCAAGATTTTGGTCAACATCAACATTTTGAAGTGATATTCACAATTTTATAAAAGGTTGATCATGATTCCTCAAGGAATGCTCCTAATTCATCAAAACTCAAAAGTTGCTAAATTAGGGTTTCTTAGGAAAAGACAACCAAACTTTGACCAAGCATAACTTTCTCATACTTTATCATAAATTTCTCATCCAACGATTATTTTGAAAAGAATCCAATTCCCTACAACTCATCTTCATCCTCAAGTTCAAAAAATGCACTCATAAAAAGATATGAATTTCTACATTATAGGTCCTTTTGAAAAGTCAACAAAAACACCTTTTGGGTCAAAGCTTCTTACATGAACATGGAAGACCCAATTGATATGAAATAAAATGGGTTGTTTGGAGGAAATCCTAAGCTTTCTAAAAAGTTCAAGAACACATCCCTAGGGTCAAAATTGGAGGAGATATGTGTTGTACCCAAAAATTTGCCCTCCCTTTTTCACAAGAAATCAGAACCTCAGGGGTTTCTCTGATTTTTCAGATTGGCTCGAGAATCGGTCAAACATACTTTTCTTTATCAGTCAATCCAGAATTAGGGTTTTCTATGATTTGTTAAGATTGACTCAGGAATCGATCAGACAGATCTTTCTTTGGCAGTAATCCAGGATTAGGGTTTGCGCTCACATTTCTCAAAAGAAACTGAATCCTCAGAAATTCAGTTAACTGTTACATTATTTTTACGCTTGTTCAAGATTACTGGTTATTTCTCAAAACCTAATTATCTGGGATAAGAGATGAGACTTTTGTTTGGAACATTAAGGCATTTGTTTGATCAGTGGAGTGAAAGGTTTATGGAATACTTGTTTGTTTAACTGTACAACGCATATGTTATTTGGAATACTACGCATATTGTGATTGATGTAAGGTTGCGAGACTGCAAAGTTTGTTGATTATTTATTTCATCTGGATTAGAATTATTGAGACACAGTTTCAATTATTTTGATTTAAGAGTCTTAAATAATTAAATAAACAATGCAAGGAAAAGTTGGAAGATATTTGACAAAAGACTTTTTTTTTATTTCAAATGTTGTTACAAATTTTATTCGAATATTGTAAGATTACAACTTATAATATTTACAATAATATTTGTTTACAATAAATGGAAAAAATAAATCTAAGCTAATCTCGTAAGATCTTTGACTTCTACTTCTACTGCTTCCTCTATCATCCAACTGGTACTTACCTGCAAAAGATAGAAGAAAAAGAAATCAGCGCAATTAACTGAAAAGAATTTTCAAGCAGATAAAAAGAAAAATCATCATTAAAGTTTGTCGGCTGGAATCAGAATGCTATGTCCATCATATTATTATTTTCCTCTCTGCAAATCATAAGAAGATCTCTCTTCTCGGTTCACAGAGAGAAAAATAAAAGATATAAAATGCAAGCATGTCAAACTAGATGCAAAAACATGGTTCAAGTACAAAGGCACAAGGCTGCATACAAAGCAAACTATACTGCAAACTGAGTTTCAAATGCATTAACCAAACTGAATGTCAAACTGAGTTGCAAAACTGTCACAACAAGTACACAATGCAGGAAGTAGGCAAAATGTCAAAGCAACAAAGTACACAATGCAGAAAATATGCAGCAAGTACACAATGCAGAGAAAAACCAATTCACAAGCCAAAGAGACTTGTCCTAGCTATCATCACTTTCCAGCACTAGACAAACTTTTCAGAATTTAAATATAATAAGAAATTAAAAATGTTTATGGAGAGAGAGAAAGAGAGAACCTCAGCGATAGTTTGCAGTTTTGGCAAAAGCAGGTTTTTCAAGACAGTAAAAGAAAACAAAAAAAGATATAAAGAGGCTACTACATAACAATCCAGGGGGGAGAGGACATAGAGCCCACAAAAACTTGCAAACCTGCATTACAAAACCTGCAAGCCTGCTTGCAAAACAAGGGAGAAAATATTGAAAGAAAAACCCTGCATAACTACAACTTCTCAAAACTGCATCTAAAACCAAACTCACCAGTCTGCCTAACAAAATCATCAAGCTACAAAACCTGCCTGCTCAACAAACACAAGCAGACCTGCTTAAACTGCATAACCTGCTAGCAAACCTGCTAGCCAAAGCAAACATACAGAAGCCCGTAACAAAACACAAACAACTTGTAATTTACCAAAACTGTAAGCTCAAGCCTGCTTACCAGAAACTTCTTAACCTGCCTGTCCAAAAACAACAACAAACCTCTTAAAACTGCAAATCACACAAGCCAAACACAAACAGTCTACAAGCACAACAAATCAAACCAGCCTGCACAAGACAAACTAACAAAACCTGCTAGCAAGAAACCTGTACCCAAACTACAGATTCAACCACAAACCAAACACCCAAACCTGTTTGGGCCAAAAACTGCATAAACTGCAAACGCAGCCTAGCTATCATCAACACAAAAATCACAAGCTAACATCAAACCAACAAATCATCCAACCATCAATAACAAACAAGTTTCATAGGTTATCAACCATCATTAACGATCCACAAGGATAGAGGAAAAGTTTTAGAAGCGAAATAATACCAGTTTCAGAATTTCTGTTCATCATTAACAAGGAAGAAGAGAGGTTCAGAAGTGATAAATAAAGAACAGGTCTCAGAATATTTGTTCATCATCAACCAAAACAAAGAGCAAGCATAGTTCTCAGAATAATCTCATCATCAAACACTCAGAGGAAGAGAATCAACAAAAGCAAACAACAATAGTTCTCAGAATAATCTCATCATCAAACACTCAGAGGAAGAGAATTAACAAAAGCAAACAACAATAGTTCTTAGAATAATCTCATCATCAAACATTCAAAAAGAAGCCAAAGAAACGAAAATACCAGAAAAACATCATCTTCATCCTCCGCCTAGCCTCCTGGGAGCGCCACCGACCGGTCTCACATCCTTCTCCTCCATTTTATAGAACAAAACACTCAAGGTACGTCCCTCAGACCTTTGCTACATGTAAACATCATAACAACCATAGATTAAAACATGTAAGAGTAAAACGAAAGCATAACTGGGAAACCCTAAAACGAAGGTTAACGATTCGTACTGTTCATTCAAGATTTTGGACCGCCGTGAAGAGAGAAGGAAGTGAGATAGGGCGGCGCTCCGGTGACTTAAGGACTTAAGAGTATCAAACGCTTTGCATGAGAGAAATGAGAGAAACGGAGAAGAGATGAGAGAAGTGGCGCCGCTGAGGCCAAAATTGCAAACCCTAAATTCTGAGTACACCAAACATCAACCCTAACAAACTTTGTGCAACAGCAATTGGGCCTTCGCCCCAAACGAAATGCCTAAGCCCACTGAACACGCACCCCCCCATTTCATCCATTTCTGCTCTTTTATTTCTTTTTTCCATTTTGGGCCCATGAACCCCCAATTATCTCTTTAAAAGCCCATTTTTCTATTTTTTAAACCGAATCTTTTTTTATTATTTTGTTTTCATTTTAAATAAATTCTTTTCATTACTTTTGTTAATAATAGAATTAATGTATTAAAATTTTGTTTTGATTTGGTTTTCTTTTTAAATAATTATTACCTTTAATAAAAATACATAAATAATCTTAAACATTGATTTAAATAAATTTTCTTTCTTTAAAACTTTTTCTTTTCATAATCAATAAAAACACAAAATAATAATAATCATACTTA